CCCCTAAAGGGATCAGCATGCCCATTCACGCACTACAGTGCATAATTCACGCACAAAATTCTAGATGCACGCATAAAAATTTTAAGTAGGGGGTACATGCACGCAAAGTGAAATCGTCGGAATGAATGTTTGGGATAGCCTAATTTGCTTATCAACTAAATGTTGTTGCCATCTACCAATGGTTAGGAACAGTCTAAACCCGGTCATAATTGCATGTCTGCTTTCAAAGTCATCTCAGTCTGATTCGGAAATATTTTAGTCATGTTTTGATGTCATATGTACTGTCTTAAGAAAAAAGTTTTGGATATTTACAACTTAAAAAAAGTAGACACCAACAAAAAGATGTTTCCTGCTTAAAATCTAACCTCTAGCTCATTGGGTTTTTTAAAAGAAGATTTTTTAAGTTTTTGCTATATGCATATAGTTAAAAACAATGACACCTCTGGGGCGGGCCAGTTTTAACCCCAGGGCTTTTATTTGAACAAACTTTGTAGACACTTACTAGAAGATGTTTCATTCTTAATATCTAAACTCTAGCTATTTGGGTTTTTTCAAAGAAGATTTTTAAGTTTTTGCCATACACATATAAGGAAAATCAATGACCCCCGGGGCAGGGCCAATTTTGACCCCAGGGCTTTTATTTGAACAAACTTTGTAGACACCCATTAGAACATGTTTCATGCTAAATATCTTAGCTCTAGCTCTTTGGGTTCTTTAAAAGAAGATTTTTTAAGTTTTTACTATATGCATATAGGGAAAATCAATGACCCCCTGGGGGCGGGGCCAATTTTGACCCCAGGGCTTTTATTTGAACAAACTTGGTAGACACTCACTAGAAGATGTTTCATGCTTAATATCTAAACTCTAGCTATTTGGGTTTTTTCAAAGAAGATTTTTTAAGTTTTTACTATACACATATAAGGAAAATCAATGACCCCCGGGGCGGGGCCAATTTTGACCCCAGAGCTTTAATTTGAACAAACTTTGTAGACACCAATAAGAACATGTTTCATGCTAAATATCTTAGCTCTAGCTCTTTGGGTTCTTTAAAAGAAGACTTTTTAAGTTTTTACTATATGCATATAGGGAAAATCAATGACCCCCTGGGTCGGGGCTGGGCCAATTTTGACCCCAGGGCTTTCATTTGAACAAACTTTGTAGACACTCACTAGAAGATGTTTCATGCTTAATATCTAAACTCTAGCTATATGGGTTTTTTCAAAGAAGATTTTTAAGTTTTTGCTATACACATATAAGGAAAATCAATGACCCCCGGGGCGGGGCCAATTTTGACCCCAGGGCTTTTATTTGAACAAACTTTGTAGACACCCATTAGAACATGTTTCATGCTAAATATCTTAGCTCTAGCTCTTTGGGTTCTTTAAAAGAAGATTTTTTTAAGTTTTTAATATATGCATATAGGGAAAATCAATGACCCCCTGGGGCGGGGCCAATTTTGACCCCAGGGCTTTTATTTGAACAAACTTGGTAGACACCCATTAGAAGATGTTTCATGCTAAATATCTTAGCTATAGCTCTATGGGTTCTTTAAAAGAAGATTTTTTAAGTTTTTACTATATGCATATAGGGAAAATCAATGACCCCCTGGGGCGGGGCCAATTTTGACCCCAGGGCTTTTATTTGAACAAACTTGGTAGACACTCACTAGAAGATTTTTCATGCCAAATATCTAAGCTCTAGCTATTTGGGTTTTTTAAAAGAAGATATTTAAATTTTTTTCTTTTGGTTGCCATGGCAACCAGAGTTCTGCATGGAATTAAATTCTTTGAACAATTTTTAAAGGTGACCACCAAAGGAACATTCCTGTGAAGTTTGGATGAAATTGGCTTAGTGGTTTATGAGGAGATGTCATTTAAAGTAAAAGTTTACGGACGGACGGACGACGGACGGACGCCGGACGAAAAGCGATCACAAAAGCTCACCCTGTCACTTTGTGACAGGTGAGCTAAAAATAATTCATTTTCTCATATGTTATACATCATCTGATAAAACCGAAAGCCTCCAACAAACTATCGTCTGTCACATAATCACATGGACCAAGCAAGTAAGATTTCTAATTAAGGTTTAAGAAGTGTAAAATGAAAAAAAGAAGTTCAATACTATCTTTACCCATAGCTTGGTTCAGTGGTGGATATCGGTCAAGAGAGTCGTCTGGTATCCTATCGGCTTCAACACTGCCACTACAATGCCCCTCACCTTAAAAAATATCATACGAAAAACATAGGCATTTAATTCTTCTAGCTATATCCAATTTTGCCTCAATATATTCTTTTTCTTCCAGATCCCTTGATTTGTTAGCGTCCGGAGGAAGATTTACTAAAATCCTCAGGACCGTCAAAGGTAGAAACTGCTGCCGCCATTTAAATAGCAGTTATCACTACTAGAAAATCAAAGTGCTGCAGCACTGAATGCGACGGACATGCAACCGGAGAGACATTAAGCTTGGGCGGCAGACCAGGTTTCCTGGTCTTTTGTGGCGGTTTTCGTCGCCCAGATATGGAAAAATATGTTATATGTAGTTATATTTACTTGTTTGTAGTTATATTTACTTGTTTAAACTTTCATGGCAAATTTATATTTACTAGTTTAAACTTTTGCCTAGAAAGTTTAAACTAGTAAATATAAATTTGCCATGAAAGTTTAAACAAGTAAATATAACTACAAACAAGTAAATATAACTACATATAACATATTTTTCCATATCTGGGCGACGAAAACCGCCAATATAACTACATATAACATATTTTTCCATATCTGGGCGACGAAAACCGCCCTTTAAACAAGTAAATATAAGTACTTATAACATAATTGTCTGTATCTCAAAATTTAAAAAGTTCATATATATGACTTAACAACAAAGAGAAGTGGAGTCAAAATTATAAGAAGTAATAAAAACAAGTGGTGTAAATATTATAAGAAATAATAAAAACCAACAGCCAAAAAGAGAGTAAACGAAATAAGAGGTGGAGGAAAAGGGAGGCGGCGGTTGAGCAAAATGAATAAGCGTATTATCCTTCGCAAAATAATGGCTAAGAATGAAGATGCCGGATTTTGATTGGTTAAGAAAGTCATGTGATAACATTGTACTCTCTGATTGGCTAATGGTAATTCCTAAAATAGCATATCAGTGGAAGGGAATTCAATTCACGAAAAGTACAACAATGTTATAAATTATTTTATATGTTTATAAAATATATTTATCTCATCTGTTTTACAACCAAACTTCGGCCCTGTGTACTATGTATTGGAAAATAGAAAAGTAACAAGGTTGTAGATTGAAAAAGGGCAAATTTATTTATTTGCCTAGAAAGTTTAAACTAGTAAATATAAATTTGCCATGAAAGTTTAAACAAGTAAATATAACTACAAACAAGTAAATATAACTACATATAACATATTTTTCAGGCTTCTTTTAGAAAAAACAAAACAAAAACAAAACACAAAATATATAACAGAGAAAATTTGTTCCGTACAAGTTCGAGATTTGTAGAGCAATATATTTTGTGTCCCAAACTGATATAATTCAGATTTTCTACTTTCAAGCACTTAAATACAGAATGAAATTTATGCCTAAAAACTCTGGTCAAACTTGTAAATCAATGTCCTTATCGATTTATTCCAAGAAATGATATGTAAATAGAAAAAAAACTGTCAACGAAATATTTCTAAAATAAAACCAGGCAAATAAACTTCAAACATAATACATTATACATTTGAGATCATAGTGGGCATATAGACAATAAAATAAAAGTCATTTGTATCTTTATTTCTCTTGGATATGTCTCATTAAAAAAAATTTTGGTTAAAATCATCAACAATTAATAGTGTATTTTTTAGATTTTTTTTATTTACAAGGTAAAGATGTAGAGGCCAGAGCACATCGTTTTTATTTTAATTTAAATGTCACTCAAGCACTACAGTGTTTAGTTGTCCTTTTCAATTTCACACTAAATTCCATTTTCAACTTGTTTGCTTCTTACAATTGTATAGAATTTCTAAAAGTATTGCATGTAATCCGCTGGTTTATTACATGTATAATGTGTACTCCCTAATCGCCTGTCCAAAAATCAGAACAGGTGAAGCAGAATTTATTTTTAGAATAGCGAAGTTTAACTCATATCATGACCTAGAAAAAATATGTAAACAAACCACAATAATCGGAAGTAGAACTGATATTATAACTTCCTTACCATGAAAGACTACATGGCGGTAAAGTGTTGAAAAACTCTCTTCTTACATGCATTTTCAAAAATAGATATTTATACTAACCATTGTACTGTATCTAATATATTAATAACTGCTGAATATTCAGCTAAACCTGCGGTATGAGTCACGAAAATAGTTCTTCTTTTATTAATGCGCGAGTTATCCTAGAGTCACGAAAAACTTTTGATTTGTTAATAATAATGTTTTGTATAACGTAGAAATATTTATTTCCTACTAATTATGTCTTGGAACTCAGAGGTTACACCTTTATTGTAGTATAATTTGCTGTCCTACTTTTTCGACAGCGGTAAATCGTTTCGGCAGTAATTTGCATATTGCGCAATAATACTACGGGACTACAACGTTTTTATCAATAATATACGTTCATATTTTAACTTGGATAACTTAATTTGAAATTGAAAAGGCTAAATATGGAAGATTTTAAGATATCCAGACAAAGTATGGGAGTTTTGAAGGATCAAATTCATGTACTATTTCTTGGGCTGTTAATCGGTTTAGAACACATTGCGCGATTGTAGCCAACGAATTCCCATGTGTAGATGACTTAGCTCTGAACGCGCCTGAGGGCGCGTCCGTCGCAAAAACACTAAATTTACCAACGGCAACGGCTTAGACTTTCGCCAAATTACCGGGCTTTTCCCCGGACCGCTCCCGATTTTAGTAGAATTTATTTTAGCACATTTCAAGGCCGGGAAGGGACATTTTTAAATTCCAGGACCTTCCCGGGCCCGTCGGAACTTTAATTGTTTGTAGCAAAGTAAACAAAACTGCGCACGTGTTTGGTTGTACGATACGAACAACATCTGACACCTTGTTTTATGTTTATGAGAAAATAAAATAACTTAATTAGGACCATGACATTTAGAACTTAACTTCTTGAAATCTAAACTGGATACTTACCTGAGGAAGAAGTGTTCAGCTCCCTTACAGTTCCTGAAAAAATAACTAGGAAATTTAGAGAGAACATGCATTAGTTTAGGACATGCATTCTTATCCAAATGTTTTTTTTATCGAAAAAGCAACAAGTTCAAAAACAAAATAACATCATGAAATAACCCTTTGTTACAATTGTTGTTATGTTAATAGTAAATTAATTAACAAAGAACAATAAAACATTATAAAATAAAAATGGTAGTTTCGTTTTCAATGTTTAAGGGCTGTTGCAATGATAAATAATTTTTAGAGGACATCCTCATGTTGCGAATTAACAAACCCAAATTAGTTCATCCCTACAAATTAAAACAACAACAACAACAACAACAACAACAAATAATCAACAAAAACAAGCACAAAAAGGAACAGCGGTAGTGGTAGCAGCAGCACATAAAGAACAGACAAGAATAAAAATTGTACTCGCCTGCATCAACTGAATCATCGGCATCATTGCTGTAACTCAATGATGGATCCAAGCTTCCCAACGACTGCGAACTCACACTGCTGCTAAAGACGCTTGTCTGCCTAGACGGTGCGCCTGTAACGTCTGCATACGAGCTCGAGTTACTGGAAATGCTGACCCCTCTGATCGTCGGTACCTCATGTATAGTCACCGTATGCTTCACTCTACCGTCGACCTTGAACTTGATCGTGGCATTCCCCTCGCTGTTTTCATCATATGTGGGAACCAGTGATAAATGTTTTCTGCATTCACTCAAAGACTCGCTATATTCCAGAATGTCCTCCCCCTGTTGTTGGAAAGATCGTATGTTGTAAAACATTTATAATAATGCACGGCTCGGGTTATATTTTCAAAACAACCGTTTATATAGGGCCATTTAACCTGTCAAAAAATCTTTATAACTAATAATATACACGGTTGCTGTCGATTTATAAAAAATCTCACTTTATTCCTCTAAAAATGATGCTATCTGTATTATAAATTCGTGATAAATATTTCTGACAAGTTATATGGCTGTATATAAACGATTGTTTGCAATATAACCATCGCCTAGCGACTCGGGTTATCTTTATAAACAACCGTTTATATAGGATCATATAACCTGTCAAAAATCGTTATTACTAATAATATACATGTATAACTAAGTTACATTTTAATTAAAATGAGTAGCTTGTTAACGTAATGTACAAGGGGAATCCACTGAGATTTTTTGACATGACGGGACTGGAATTTTTTTTCAGAGATTTGTATGCGTTTAGTGTTAGTGTGAATGACTTACTTTGTGCAAATTTTCAGACTATTCCCTCATCCCCTTTTATCAGAATAGTCCTTTGTTTTGCGTAAAATGATATAAAAATGAAAAGCGTTACAGCGCTTTGCTAAGAATTGAACTAACTTTATTGATTTTCTATTTTGCAGATTTTTCCATTTTAAGTGCTTAAATTATCTATGTAAAGAAATCTCAAAGTTTATGTTTTCAGACTTTATGATTTCAGTGTAGCTTCTTTACAAATAAACACTGGCCGATTTCTACGTACATGCAGGGCGAAAAAAATGAGAAAGAAGCGATTCATTTCGCAATGAAGAAACCATCTATGCAGACGGCTACCGGATGTAAATGAAAGTAAACATATCATTACCGGTTCTAACGCTGACCGTGGTGCCAGAGCCCCGGATATTGAAAACTGAATATCGCACTTCTTTTCCTTCAGTGGAAGCTCAAATTCTGGGGAGCAACTTCCGACCACATTTTCATGCTCTATGTAAACCTAAAATAAACAAGCATTTTATGATCTTGAATAGTGCTGAATGATAACCGAGAGAATGATGATGATGTTGATGATGATAATGATGATGCTATATGTTATTGTTACTGTTGTTGTGTCTGTTGTTGTTGTTGCTGTTATTTTTGTTGTTAATAATGATGATAATTATTATTATTAACAAATGAGGATGATAAAATAATGCTGATGATGGTGAATATGATACATATTATGAAGGTTTCACGAACATAAAAAAACACAAAATTCATGTTTGTTTGTTTGTTTGTTGTTTTTTCTGGGTTTTTTTGCGTGTGTGCTTGTGGCAAGCAAGAAAACATACCGAACGATGAATTCTTATCGATGAAGTTAATGAGGTAGCTCTGACACTGAAACACTTATAAATTGTTAGAAAAAACAACTTATTTGTTCCTCCCAAATATAACAGGCATCAAATAATAATATGAGAGATTAAGTATATTTTTAAATCAGGCTATCCTTGACTTATAAAAAACATACTTTTTAATCCAAGGAAATGAAGAAAATATTAACAATCAAATACAAATGTAACCGAAAATTTTGTTTATCTGTGAGAAAATTTGCAATTTACTCACCTGCTCTTCGGCTTTTCTCTTCTGTTTAACAGAGTCGACAGTTTTCTTCCGAATGACCTCAACGCTTACGGCAAAACGACCTTTGTCAAAATGTGTCTTCGACAGGAAGGTCAGCACGTGCACTTGGGTTGACGTATTACTCTTGAACATGCTTTAATCTTTCAGCAGACGACTTTTAGTGTAAAATGATCTAAGAACAAAAATAAGATGTAAAATTTCAAAGATACGGTAAAAGTTTAGTTTTTTAAGAAAAAAAAACCAACAAGAAGAAGCTGTGCACTCTTTAAAGAAGAACAAAACTGTTAACTTCTCTGTCGACTCGCATTTTTCGCATTTTCGATTTAAACCATCTTTGCTTCTAGTTGAAATATGAGAAATACACATGTTTATCAACATTCTTATTACTGATGGAATTTTCTATATAAAAGCATCTTTGATAGTAAGTTAAGAAGAAAATGGACACACAGGGATCTTGACCTTTGACCTCGGAATCGGCATACACGCAGAACACCCAGATATAAATTTCAATGTTATAGCTCTTGATATTAAGTAAATGACCATACACGGAACTTTGCCAATGTTTCTATGTTATTGGCCTGTTAGATATTAAGTAAATGACCATACACCAAAAAAAAAAGTTTAACCACGCTGATGCCGACGACTTGGTCATGGCAATACCTCAACTTGTTTTTCATTGAAAAATGATACAAGCATATACTAAATACCAACACGTGATCATGCATGTAGAAAAATGATTTCCCAATTTACTGATGGCTAATTAATTAAGCCAGAAATGTCTTTATTTTCATTTTAAATAGCCTCTTGATATGGAGTCCTTGTATAGTTTCCAAAAAGTTACTCAGTGGCCGATTACCTGAACCATTGTTTGTTTTGTTGGCTTTAAATTTGGTAAAAGGAATTAACTCCTTGAAAAAAAAAATTTCGGAGACTGTAGTCTGATCTTTTCTATCCCTTTATTGGGAAAAGGCTTTAGTCTCTTGATTTTTAGAAAAACTATCGCTAAAATTGTGAATTTGGGAAAGTTAAAACCTAGTGTAAGTTATAGTGTTTTGGGGGAAATCTGCTCGCTTTTAAAGAAAATTTCAATTGGGAAGAGGATTTTTATAGACCTCTGTTATATAATATAAAAAATTCCAGGTATTCATTTTCAATTTCATGCATGTAAAAGAATGTCAAGCCTTATTTGTACGAACAGTTGATTAAATAATCTATACTTTCGTTTTGAAATTCGTTTCGATTTGCTTTGAAACATCGACTGTTGATCACGCAGAAAAAGTAACTATGGTAAAATTGAAATAGTTTCGAAGGATTTGGTCTCAGTGGAATGAATTTGAAAGAATATTAAGCCTGAGATGTTCAAAATATCAATTTTTAATCTACTTTCGTTTTTAAATTAATTAGTTTCATTTTGCATGGAAACATTGGACTTTTTAATATCACGGTTGAAAAATAACATTAAAATTGTTTCGAATGTTTGTACAAATATGTTAATGTTTCAGGCCATTAAATTTAAGATTTACAAAATTAATTACTAAATTAACATATATATTTTGTAGGCCTTTTTAAAATGTATGAAAATTTGATAAACAAGAACAATATAATGTGTCAAATAAAAAGTATAACAAATTTATATATATTATTGAAGCAGTCTTGGTTACAATACGATGTTTCTGTGCCGATTGTTTTAAAAATATTGAAATATTATAAAGTTAAAATATATTAATTTTTTACACGGAAACCGAAAGTAGAATCTCACTTTCAAATTAAGTGATATATAGATAACTTTTTACAAAACACATCTAAGGATTTTATTTCTTAATATACAAAACAAACATACAAAAACCTGTATGAACTAGAACAGCTTTCAAAACCGTTAATTCCTAATTTATTTTACATCGTTTCTGAGTATTTGTAACAGATTGTTTTATCGACTTCCGGGTGACACATTCAGATCACCTCGGCCTTTTTGCTAACTTAAAGCGTACGTAGTTACCGCGATATAATTATAACTAACTTACTACTTAGTCGAATTTCAAGTAATTTATTCTGATGTCAAAACACATACATTCAATTAGAATAATAATATTGATTGTAATCCAGTTAGGATTAATTATGTGTAACAGAACTTAAAATTTATTTTCATGTCTACCATATCCTATAATTAACTTCGATCTACTTTCGTTTACACCAATTAAGATAGTTTCATATAGGGGAAAACACTTCAAACTATGTTAGCATGTTATATTTTTATAAGTCTTCGGCCATTGGGTTTAATAGCAGTGACAATCTTTCATGGAAATCCAACTTTTCTGACCGCGTTTTGTCGAACATGTATTCAATTATAAAAAAAAATACCATATAGAGTTGTCATATTTTGACACCATTCTATTATCATTTAATTATTACAGTGCCTTTGTTGTGGTACTTTTTTTTCATTATTGATTTTTGTGTGTATATGTGCACGCGTGTGCTCGCGCTCTTTTTATAATTTTACAATTTTAATTAAAGCCTATACATTTGTATTTATTTTCGATATTTCACTTACTAATATATTGCGTATGATTACGAAATAAATCCGATGCAAGCCTTTCTTTACATCTGTAGATTATAATAATCAGCAGTTTTCTTTGACATGGCGCTGGTGCATGAAACAAAATGGTCAGGTGCCTGAAATGGGAGATCCCTCGAGCGAGAGCAATGTAAACAACGTGAATAGTGAAATTGACAATTGACATTTGCAGACTTGTAACATCGCACTGGTTTAAGCGGTAATTAATCCTCAACACAACAAGTGATGACTCGACCTAAAAAGGACTACACCTCCCCCGCTCCCTCCCCACAAAAAAAAAATGAAAAAAGAAAAAAAAAAACAGTGAATTTAAGTATGGGCAACATTTTTACGACTGCCACACTGTGACAACACTGTTGTGAATATAAAATTCTGGAAAAGGTTAACTCCTTCAATGGTAATTAAATTTTAAGGTATGGTTTGTTGAATTTGTTCACAAGAGATAATGTTATGTACAAAATCTCTCATGCAAATAAATCATTTCGGAAAAATACACAATTGTCTGTTGTGCATCATCGGATAAATTCGTGCATATCTCGGATGTCCCACCACGGATTTATAATATAAATATAAATCCGTGGTCCCACTTACTGCTATACAAAGCACGTGAAGCTGGCTCTTTAAACAGGGTGGTTTTTATAGATACACGTGTGATATCTGCATGATATAGGCGGTAGCCCACTGAGAGTACTAGTGTAAATCTACAATGTATATTCAATTTATTTTAGTAAAGATTATAATGATTGTTTATTTTGGCAGTAACACTTTATTTTTTCTCCATGTTACATATTATGGTCTCATTGGTCTCCCGTGCATCAAAACAGTAAACATCACAAAAAATCGACTTGCATCACATATATGTAGATTCAGTGAATTTCTGAAGGTTACCTTTGGTCGAGACATCAATGGTGATATGTTCGGGGTCAGTACTTTTAGTGCCTAAAAAGGACAGATGGACCCTTATTAAGCCCAGAATACATACATGCATCGTTATCGGAACCAGCCGACACCTACATATCTAAGTACTGTCTTTGCCTCACTGCGGAATGGCTAGTGCAACACCTTATAGGTTCCCTTGAACATGTTGAACGGCGATATAAAACACATACCGCATACTGCAGATTTGGTCACCAAGACTCACCATATTTCTTGGGCCAGGTGCAATTAGTATACTATATGTAGATGTTCAATAGACCGTGCGGAGATTTGTTGTACTAGTAAGGCTGATGCTACAATGTAAAGTCAGATCGGCTCACTGTATTTGACTGTGTAAAAAGTACTCGATTAAATTAACGTTTCATTCTGATTACCGGAAATCGTCAAAAAAAGTTGCTGACGTCTGTAGTTTTCCCGCCTTTTCTAAATAAACGCATACAGTGCAGACGATTGTTATGGGGAAAATGACATCCTGTTCTTTTAATAAATTGTAAGTAGAATCTAGGGTCATCAAGCAGCATGCTAATGTTCATGAAATTTTGAAAATGTAGAGAATCTATTCTAGATTTTTTGTTGATCTAAAACATAGGGAGCCGGCACAGTGTTTGGATAGCATACAAAATGCTTATTTGAACCTGTGAACACACTAAAAAAAAAAATCACCATCAAATATTGTCTATATATAATATTTGATGGTGATTTTTTTTTTTAGTGTGTTCACAGGTTCAAATAAGCATTTTATATGCTATCCAAACAATGTGCCGGCTCCCTATGATCTAAAACTGGACAAATTTATGCTAGATACATTATAATTTGATTGCGGACAACCAGGGTCTTTGAAATAGAAATGTTGGCCCTTGACCGATCCGTCACGTTACAGTATATTCTAGAACCTGGGACCAAATTTGGTCCTAGCTGGGACAATCAATTCAAGTTGCGATAATGTTAGAAACCAAGTTAGTCCTATAATTGATTATATAAGACCTATATATATATATATATATATGTAACATATTCCATGTTTATCCTTCATTATTCTGATAATTTACAGTTTTCATTTCCCATGTTATGTTGAAAAAAGCGTTGATAATATGAAATGTCACAATGATAGATATAAAATAACTTTTTAAAGAAAATACTAAATATTTTAGCACATTTAGAGATGTTCTGAATGCCATCCATTGCCTAGACAAAGAAAAAGAAACTGGGTGGTTGAAATTAAGGAAATGCTCATTACATTTTGGTTAATTCTTGAAAATTTTAGAAGCCACACTGTGACAGAGTGATATTTGTGATGAAACTAGTGTATGAGTTCAGGTTCTTCCCCTAAAGCAATATTTACCTATGATGTTGGGGAAAAATTGTTGTTTTTATTGAGGATTAGGTCTTTTATGGGGCCTTTTGTTGTGATTCCAGTTTACTAAGAAAAGCAACTGCTACTGCATTTGTGTATTTCGTAAGTAAGAGTTGCTTCCCATAGATTGCACAATTAAATTTTGACATAGGAGTACATTACTGTCCGTGCAAATATTTGGTAGATTGTAGCAGGTACATATATGATTGTAGATTCTATTTCATAATTTGGTGTAAAATAACAGAAACAATATATACTTATCATAGATAATTACTAAATATTATTATTAAAAACAACATTCAGTATTTATTCATGTTTTATTCATAGATGGTATAACCACTATCCTATGAGAATTTACCACTATCCTATGAGAATTTACTACTATCCTATGACAATTTACCACTATCCTATGACAATTTACCACTATCCTATGACAATTTACCACTATCCTATGACAATTTACCACTATCCTATGACAATTTACCACTATCCTATGACAATATACCACTATCCTATGACAATTTACCACTATCCTATGACAATTTACCACTATCCTATGACAATTTACCACTATCCTATGACAATATACCACTATCCTATGAGAATTTACCACTATCCTATGATAATTTACTACTATCCTATGACAATTTACCACTATCCTATGACAATTTACCACTATCCTATGACAATTTACCACTATCCTATGACAATTTACCACTATCCTATGACAATTTACCACTATCCTATGACAATTTACCACTATCCTATGACAATATACCACTATCCTATGACAATTTACCACTATCCTATGACAATATACCACTATCCTATGACAATTTACCACTATCCTATGACAATTTACCACTATCCTATGACAATTTACCACTATCTTATGACAATTTAATCTAGATAGAAATCTTTTACTCTAATTTATAACCCTTGCATACTTTATTCACAAATAAAAAAACAATATTCTGATAATTATCAAATTTAAACGTTAACCGTCTTAATATCAGGAAAAATCTTCTGTTTTTGACCTTTTGCATACATATTTAGTGAATGGATATTTAGTATACTAATAAGGCCTATTATCAGGCCATCGTCATGTTTTATGGGACAACTACTTTCATAGGTGTGATATTGGCATAATTTCAATTTATGACCTGAACACTCATGCAGACATATATATAACATAGCAAATGTTTGTTGAAATGTTACATTTAAAGATAAAGTAAAACACTGACAGGGTCTGATTTATGGTTTTTGGTGTGGTTACCGGTATATAAATCTTCAATACCTTTTTCATTCATGTTGATCCTTATAAGTTTACTTTCATTCATTCTATAAAGTTTTATATATATCAGTCAGTGAAGGATTATTTAATTCATCCTTTCCAGGTAGGTCTTTGTTATTCTTTAAGCCCTGACTATGCTAAATATCGAAAATGGACCTATGCATCTTTCAATCTGGACATGGCCATTCATTAATTTTAGGGAAAATTTTAAAATATTTACTTAAGGCTAATACAATATACATTTATTCATGTTTATTTTTTTATAATTTTTTCATAATGTGAAAGCCTCTTGAATTTTTTCAAGAACTTGGCTACAAATCTTTTCCAGCTATTCTAGGAAAAGCCCCCTGGATAAATGTGGGAAAAAATTTATGGCATTTTTAAAATTTTGATGTTAGAAATGCAATGATTAACCTTTTCCCTGATACAGCCCCCTTAATTTACTGCTTTACACCCCATAATACAGTAGCCAGATAGATAATCAATAATCAATATCCTACTGATAAGGAGTCACACACTATCTCCATATAGGGTATGATAAATTATAGGTAAAATTGGTCAAATTAGATACCTATATACTTTAACTGGAAAATAAAGTATTAAGTTGTGTTTTGACAATTTTTGTATCAATAAAAAGTTTGTAGATAATTGAAATACCTTTCCAATGGTATAAATATCATATTTGTTGGGTTTATACAAATATGTCTACATGAGTTATAAAGTAATAAACTATATACTTGATGGTGTTTTTTTCTCCATTGTTTCAGATAAATTAGGCTACTTTATATGTGTTTTAACTAATGTAAAA